TTTACCAGCTAAGACTTGGCTTCTGTTTCAAAGTAATTAGTGACTTAGTCACCTGTGGCGTTTCTGGTCACTCCTTGATGATGTGTGAAATTTACCAAATCATTCAGGTCGGCTGGGTTTAAGGAGGGTTATTATAAGAACACAAAGCTTTGAGAGAATTTTTCCATGAAAACTGTACACTGTTGGCAGGCCAAACAAAACAAAATAAAAAGAATGGGATGTTTGTTCACCCACTATAACTATAAGGTATGGTACCTGCCAGCAAAACGTAGTGTTCGTTAGTTCAAGTTGGGTTGGAGGGAGGTTGCTAATGGGTGGGGAGAGAGAGGACAGAGATCAGATGAGGAAAGAGACTAAAAAACGTATTTATATTAAAAAGATATTTCTGTCTCACAGGACTTATTACATCCGTCACAAAATCAACTTGAAAGGCTTTTTTTTTTTTAAAAAAAAAGACCTATCTTAAACAATGCTCTATTTCCCTGGCTGTGATGTGATGAATCCTGGTTGGAAAAAGAAGTCATATCACAACAAATCATGTCTGTCTATGTTAAAAAGTGACTATTTGTTTAGTCTTTGATAAGAGTTTATTTTCATAAACTATGGGATTGATTGTTTCTTTTCTCAGTCAGAAGTTCTCTGCCTCTTGCCTGGCTAAGCCAAGAGTTTCTACTTTTTGTTTTTTTGACCAGAGGTAAAGGGATACAATAAGGCCACTGATGTAGCCCAAATGTATTGAATTATTCTAGAGTCTCATGAAGGCCTCAGAGGCGTCAGCCCCTCCCAGGCCCATTCAGTGTCGTCTACTGTCTCCTGCTGTTGTCAATGTGCACTCTCCTTCCAGGTAAGGACTCCTGGGGAAGAGGCCAATAATCTCTCTTTAATGTCCTAATTACACAACCATGTTTCCCTTTGATGACCTGAAGGAGATGAAAGTTTAAGGAGAGAATATTTAATATTTCTGTCTCACAGGACTTATTACATCCGTCACAAAATCAACTTGAAAGGCTTTTTTTTTTTTAAAAAAAAAGACCTATCTTAAACAATGCTCTATTTCCCTGGCTGTGATGTGATGAATCCTGGTTGGAAAAAGAAGTCATATCACAACAAATCATGTCTGTCTATGTTAAAAAGTGACTATTTGTTTAGTCTTTGATAAGAGTTTATTTTCATAAACTATGGGATTGATTGTTTCTTTTCTCAGTCAGAAGTTCTCTGCCTCTTGCCTGGCTAAGCCAAGAGTTTCTACTTTTTGTTTTTTTGACCAGAGGTAAAGGGATACAATAAGGCCACTGATGTAGCCCAAATGTATTGAATTATTCTAGAGTCTCATGAAGGCCTCAGAGGCACGCAGGAGCCATGGCGTCAGCCCCTCCCAGGCCCATTCAGTGTCGTCTACTGTCTCCTGCTGTTGTCAATGTGCACTCTCCTTCCAGGTAAGGACTCCTGGGGAAGAGGCCAATAATCTCTCTTTAATGTCCTAATTACACAACCATGTTTCCCTTTGATGACCTGAAGGAGATGAAAGTTTAAGGAGAGAATATTTAACTAGAAGGTACCTTAGAAAAATTCCAAACTAATAAAAAACCTTAAGCAGCCTTGCACACAAAGCAGAAAATGTTCATGTCAGCAGCATTTACCAAAACTAAGAGTCCACCCTCATGGCAAGCTAGGCAAGAAACAAAATCTGCAAGAATCATTACTTTCCCCAGTTACATTACCAAGCACCTGCAAGACTATAAAAAGAATGATATCCAGTTCTCTTCTGAGAAAGAAAAGGTCTTTCCAGCAGATGCATTAAGTGAGACGAAAAACGTTGTGGTTGGAGGGGGAGAAAACATCAGGATCATTAAAAATGTATCTTCTAAATAAACAATGCCCCACATTTTAAGCCTTCTCTGTAGAGTCAAGAAATACTTTGGTCCTGTGACCCAGGTTATCAATAATTTCTTTGAAGCAAAACAACATTCCAAGCATTAACTAAGCATGTATACTATTTGCTAGTGTATAGCAAGCACACCGATTTGGAAATTCAGAGTCACCCTGCCCTACTGACCAGGAGTTTATCTCCTAACTTCTCGTCACCAGCTTCTGTCTTCTCCAAGACTGCCTAAGAAATGAGCTACCCCAGCCCAGTACATAACTTATCCTATCCCAATCCTGTCTGTTACAACTTTACTTTTTTTATGATTCTCCCTTGCTAAACTTAGCTCTTCTGCCATCTCACAATCAACCCCCTAAATATTTTCCCTGTTTAATATGTTATTTCAGTGAACTCCAAGTAATCCTTTGCATCCTTTGGCTTTATTCTAACGTAACTGTATCTGATACTGTACTAACTCTGACAGTAGGCCACTGGTTGAGACTAGGAAATCTTCCCTGCAATGGTGTTGGTCATGATGTTTGACTTGTTAGCTCAATCTAAAACAACATAACTATTTATTTATGCCCTGCTTTATTTCAGAAAAAAATTTAAGGCTGCTTATCAAATACATACAATAAAATAATGCATTATGGAGATAGGAAAAAGGGACAAAGGAGAAATTAAAGTAGGAAAATTCAGAGGAAATTAGGAGAGATGATAATTTAAAGTTTAGCTTGCCAGACCCACATATGCTCAGGTAGATTCTAAGCTTGCTAAGTTTCCTAGCAGTCAATGGAAAGACAGTGATTCACTATATCAGTGGCAGAAATATTATGGTTCACTGGTCAAATCCAGCCCACCATCTGTTTCTAGAAATAAAGTTTTTTTGGAACACAGCCACACCTATTCATTTACATATTATTTATAGCTGCTTTCATGATATAATGGCAGAGTTGAGTAGTTGTAACAGAGACCGGCAAAGTCTAAAATATGTACTACCTGGCCATTTAAAGAAAGTTTGCAGCTTACAGGGTCACATAACTCTGTGCCTATGAGATAAGAGCAAAGCAGTTTCCTAGGATAAGCACATGGTACAGTTCTGAAGCAGAAGAGAACTTTTCATTATAAAGAGCTCACTGCTGTATCATGAAAAAATCCTTAGCTTCATTTTGTACAGTAAATATAGCAACAGGTCACATAGAACTAATGGCATGATGTCACAACACCAGTCGGTAAAACAATTCTAAGTCAGACTGGAATGATGCAGGTCAGGGGACATCTCTCTTGCTCTGGCTTACTTCAGGGAGCATCTGTAGACATGGCAAGTGCCAGCTGCCTACAGACCTTCCATACCCTTCTTCCTTGTTGCTGGGAGACATGGCCAATGGGTCAAAGTGTTCTTTCCTGTTGAGTCCTGGAGTGTTCTCTGAAGTCTTCTCTGAGTTCTCTGGCATCCTTAGCCAATCATTAGCAGTTGGCAAGATAAAACCAGTATGTCATCTTTGTTTAAGGCATTTTTCCACTAACATTTCCTCTGCTGAGGGGAATAAGCACTGAGGGGCGCGATGGTGGTCATGCTCTCGCTAAGATCCTAAAGGGGAGCTATTCCATGCTGCCAGTGTGCAGAGCTGTTCCCTTTAATGAACGCCCTTGAGGAGGTGGTAGATGGACATCCTCCTATGAGAACCAGGAACAACCCCACAAGGGCAGGGGCCAGAGGGAAGCCACCATCACAGCTTGCACATAATGTGAGGCAAGAGAGCATCTGAGAGCAGGGCCAGGGACTCTTCAAGAAAAGAGCACAGAACCTGCTCCTGTGCACAGGCCAAGGGCTGTGTGGGGCCCAAGCCCCACCAGGCATTGCTCCCGGACATACTCAAGCCCCGTGCCCGTGCTGGTTGTTCCAAGAAACAAAACCTCCGCACAGCCATCACATAGGCCCACTGACCTTGAACACGTGTATTCCTAAAGGACCCCCTAAGAGACAAGGGTGCCAAAGTAAATGCAAATACACTGGGAAGCTAACTTCTAAGAAACCACCATTCAGTGCAGCACTGGAGGAGGAGGACAAACTGACGATGCGGCTTTAGAATACATTCGTCACCTTTCTCTACAGTCATACCTTCTTTGTGACTACAAACTATCGCAAGTTGTAGGTCTATTCTCTAAAGTAAGGGAACAAAAATTCATGTTATCTGAAAGAGTTATCAAAGACTTTAATATGCAAATTTAAGAGAGTAAGAACTCCTCTTATCACAATGGATGCTGCTACTTTATAACTAACTCCTACCCAAGTTATCAAAGGGAAAAAGAAAGACAAAACATATAATCATGTTACATTATTCCTAACAATCATTCCACAAGGTGATTAAAAAGCATAAAACTAGAAAATAAGGAAACCATTGATGCCTAAAACCTTCCTTCTCCTTATAGAGAAGGCTGTGCTCTAGAAAACACCAACCACACAGAAGTGAAACATAACCATACCTGACAGGAGCAAATATTATGGCCAACAAACACAATAGATCAATGGACATTTTTCTTTACCATAAAAAGAGCAAATACTAACAAAGACTACCATTTATTCTTCTAGTACCAATGCTTAGCCTTCAAGTCCAGACCATTTAAGGCCATATCTGGGTACATGAGAATGTGGAAAATTTGGATTCTGTATAGCCTTAGAAAAAAAATAAGAAAAACTCAATGAGTCAATCAAAATGCTAAGCCCAGACCAAATGTAGCAGGTACTTGGTATAGTCTTCTGGAACCAAGTTCAGGGATGCCCCATCACATACTGGATTTGGAAGTGCATGGAATATCAACACAGGAAATTCTACAGGAAAGCAAAAACCCCTTCATCTCAGCTATGGGTTGATCCCCAGTTCTTCAAGCAATTATGCAACCCTCCATGTCCTTTAATGTGCCCTGAGCCCAAGCTGGGAATCAGGATACAATGGGTCTTGGGTGACTTTGCGTAAGAAAGCTTTTTCATAACAGTTGAGGCCATTGAAGTTTGTGCTTCCAAAAGACCACTGTCCTAAACCACAGCATGCAGAGTTCCCTTCCCAGAGCCTCACGGGCAGCAGCAATACTTTTGCTAATTTCTTTAAGACTAGTTGTGAAGCATCCTACTTACGTAATGCATATAAGGTGAGAATTATTCCAGCCAGGCAAAATCCTTCAAAGAACCTGAGTGTGCTGAACATTGTCACATTCACTGACAGGGCCACTGTCAGTCCAAAGATCAGAATGAAGATGATGGAAAACAGCAACACAGGCCGCCGGCCAACCCTGCAGATAGAGAGGGAAAATGTTAGCAGTCATTGTTATTCAAGGTTGCAATGATAGATGCTTAAACCCAGTATTCAGCAGGTGCTCAGTAAATGTTGAGTACTAGCTTAAAAGTCTTCATACAATCTAGATCCACTTTGGTAGATCTAGGGGTAAAAAGGCCCTCGGGAAATTTCACCCAACCACCTCGTTTGTACATAAGGGAGCACAGATCTCACAGCCACTGTGTACATAATTGAGAGAAGAGCCCAAATCCTGTTGATGAGCCCATCTCTGAGTATACAGGGGGAGAATCCAAGGAAGTTACAAAACCAGTAATAACTCCCCAACCATAAATCTATACACATCCAACATAAAATGTCTTAAGAAATCGCTGACCTTTGGAACTGGCTCCAAAGTCAACACAGACACTGAGCAAAGTGACTTCATTTCCTTTCTGTGGCAGATCACCTGTCAAGCACCTGACCTTTAGGCGCGGCCACACGAGCCAGAGTTGAGACTTCCGATGATTTTTTCAGCTATGTGATGAGAACTAATTTTTAAGGGATCACAGTCTAAACTAAGATGGTTTGAACTTTAAATAACAGGTATGGACCTGAAGTGAAGCCCAACAGGCAGCAAGGAGTTGGAAAGTGCCCAGTCCACTGTGTTTCTGGAGAGGACATTAGGCTGGTGGATTGCAGAGGTGGTCCGTGTGAGATAGGCGACCACTAGGGGGCGATGTGCTTCAAGGTGTGGCTGGGAGGAGAGTATGGGAGCCTTCCATCTTTTCCTTCATTAACTCATTAGGAAAAAACAAACAAACCTAAACTCTCCATCACACAAATGAACACACGACATAAACAACTTGAACTAGAAAGATAGCTCACAGAGCAATTGGAGCAATTTGCCAAGGGTACCTCAATACCCCAAAGGTAAATATTTTGAACTCAGTTTTAGACATACTTATGACAAGGCATCTGCATAAAAGAAAAATGCCCAGAAAAGGCAAAGAGAAACAGAAAGTAGAAAAATAGATTCTTGGTTGCCTAGCGCTGGGGATGAGAATGGGGCGTGACTATAAGTAGGTGTATGATTTCCTTTTAAGGTGCTAGAAATCTTTTAAGCTTAGGATGTGGTGATAGCTGTGTAACTCTGTAAGTAAGCTAAAACTCACTGAATTGTGCACACTTATAGTGTGTAAATTACCTCTTAATAAAGCTGATAAGAACAAAAGCCATACTCAGTAAAGTACTCATGGCTTTGTCCTATGAAGGAGATGAATGGGATTTCAAGAAAATTGAGGGAGGCAACTATAGGACATGATTTCACTTGGATTTCCTAAGTTTCCAACTATCTCTGTTAGTCACTTTGTTTTAGTGAAATAAGGCCAAGGCTATGAGTTCAGTGGCAATGTAAGTCCATTATCTTTGCCAGAGATTTTAGCCATTACTTCCCTTGATTGGTGCTGGGGTTGTGAATCCCTATCAGGAAAGACTTGATGGGTAGTTTTCTCCCAGCCCAACTCATTTGCAGAAATACAGTTTAAAAATGGCTTGGTTGGTCTCCTAAAATGAAGGGAAACAAACAAAATCTGATTTCTCCATTTTTATTTTCCTTTACTTCCCTTTTCTGTAAAATGGGGATATGCCTCCTACTTTACGGTGTTACTAAGATCAGTAAGATGTGACAGACACAGCACAATGCCTGGCACAAAGCAGACTGACAAGTTTTAGCTTATGATTCCTTCCTGCGTGCCTATCTCCCCATGCCCATTCCCAATGCCTATCAAACATGGGTCGCCCTGTCCTGCTACTTTGGTAAAGAGTCTTATTTTTTTTTTTTTAACTTGAGGAAACTATTCTAAATCTCTCCCTCCCAAATGGTTGTAACTGTAGGCTATACACAGTCTTAAACTCAGAGCACCCAGGCTTGATTGCAGGCTTGGCACTTCAGCACTGCATGGTCTTGAGAAAGGTCAAGTTTGTTCAAACGAGCCTCAGTGCTTTCCTTAGGAAGGGTCGGTCAGTTAATGCCGACCTCATGTGGGTGTCGTCAGGTGTAGACACGTGCATGTGATTTAGCAAGGGTTCAACAGATGTGAGTTATAACCACGGGGTTTTAGTGTGAACTGGCTCTCTTCCAGAGCAGCATCCCATCAGCCATGACTGATGAAATCACACTGCTAAGTCTGTAGTTGTAGAGGGCTTTTTATCAATTAGCATTTCTGGTGGCAGAATATTGGCCCTTAAGGACATCCATTTCCTAATCCTCAGAACCTGTCAGTATGTTGCCTTTCATGGCCAAAGGGACTTTGTGCATGTGTTAACATTACGGACCTTGAGATGACCTTTACTCCTTATCCAGGTGTGTCCAATACCCTTTTCCTGGCTGCAGGGGACCAGAGAGATGGCATGAGAAGGACCTGACCGGCACTGCTGGCTCTGAAGCTAGAATGGGGCCACAAGCCAAGGAATGTGAGCAGCCTCTGGATGCTGGAAGAAGCTGGGAAACAGACTGTCTCCTAGAGCCTCCAGAAAGTAATATAACCCTGCCGGCACTTTGCTTTTAGCCCAGTGTGAACTACAGAACCGTAAGTTAATCAATGTGTGCCACCGGGTGTGTGGAATTTATTACAGCAGCTACAGAGAAATCATACTGGGTCTCAATAGGAAACAGACGTCCCACACAACTGGAGGAATTTTAATAAAGGAGGAGATTTTAATAAAGGAATCATTTGCAAAAGTGTGGGCAAGTTGTGAGAGAAAGCTTGGGGCTGCCCCCAAATGGGGCTTCAGAGGAAGGATGGTCTCAGAGCCCAGGGAGAGGCTGTGTGGAGGGGTCCCTGGCGGGAGGCAGCCACCCCTCAGAGACCCACTCACTCTCAGGCCTCCAGGTTTCCCCCCACACCAGGCTGAGCCAGGAGCTGGAGGGTAAGGGGTCCTCTGGTGCAGCCAAGGAGGTCCAGCCTCCCAGGGCTGGTGGGAGAAGGGACACAGAACACCCCTTGGCAGCACCAAAAGTGAGGGGAGGGTGCACACTGGCACAGCACCAACTGGCTACTCCCTCTCCTCCATTTCAAGTAACACGTGTCACCACACATGCAATATCCCCACACAAGATCTGTGGGGAAACAGTAACTTTTTAAAGAAAAATGTATATACTTCAGTTTCATGATATGCTGACTGCAGTGTTAGAAAGCTGAACCTATGGCTTGATCAATTTCCCTGTGCAGCCGTGAACTGGCTGGTAGCAGCTGTCAAGTTTGAAGTTCCCTCTGAATGTGTTTGTTTCCTATTAAGCAAGGCTCCACAGGGAGTAAAATGCCATAAATAAAGAAATAAAATGTGGAAAACACCAACCTTACACTGGAGCTGAGGCCAGAGCACAAAGCAGCCTGCCTGTCTCTCTGGGCACCCACGCCACCCACCATGGGCCTGTGAAAGCGACTGCAGAGAAGTGGGTGCAACATTAGACTCTGGTCTCTGACAACGGAAGGCCCCAAACTCCGCTGTCCTTTGTCCCCAGGTCTGCTGTGTGATCAGGGGGACCAGACAGTATGTATATACAGGAAGTAAATAATCACAGATACAGCCTCTGAACAATTTAAACCATTAAAGACTAATACATGAATAGAGTTCATATTTACTTTCCCTATTAAGTCACTGAATAAGGACACTAAAACCTTAGTCAAGTCTGTGTTTCTTAGAAAGAAGTGACATGGATTGTATTAGTGTATCTTCCTAACCTATTTCAATGCAGATTACTGGGAAATAAACATTCTCATGGTTAAAATATTAGGATTAGTAAAGCTCATTCTGAAAACCTATCATCTCAAGTATTTGGTTAAAAAAAAAAACTCCCACCACCCCCAAAAAAATACCCCAAGGGGGCCTCGGTATAGGTTTCCAGAGGTCATTAACAGCTTCTCTGCTACTGTCCCCAGGGAATGTGTCCTTAAGAAACACTTATAAATGATGATTAAGCAAAATCTAAAAACACAGGCAATCACGTTATATATTAATACAAGGAACTCCCCCCAAAATGTTAGCTTTTAGGAAAAAATGTCTAGAACTTGAAAGTGATCCTGGAACCCCTCTGGATTCCATCTGCTGCTTTGTTCCCCCGGCTCTTGCTCAGCCTCAGCCAGCTTCCTCAGCTGACCAGGGTTCAGAGGGCATGGTGGGTGAAGCCACAAGATGTAAGGAGCTTGCTCCAAATAACTCTTGGCCCTTATTATGTCCTTGGGCCCAAGGTGTCCTCATTCACAAAAACAATTCCTCTAAAGTAAGAGAATGTCAAGTGGGGGGACCAGCTACTCCGTGACCCTCTCCTGAGCAGTCCCATTACTTGAAAATCCTGTCAACATTGAGCAGCTGTCTCCTGCTCAGATGTGACATCGCTGCCGCCCCTGTGACCCTTGAATGCCTTAAATAAAAGTGTTGTAGTACACTCGTGAAGAGGCAGGCTCTGGAGCCATGGGACTTCGTTTCAAAACCTGGCTTTGCACCTTAGAAGCTGAGTGCACTTGGGGATTGCACTTGGACCTCTGTGCTTCCATTTTCCACTGTAAAACAGAGGTAATAACAGTAGCAGAGTGTGTGAGAATGGGGTATTCTAATGTATGGAAATATTCAGCCCAGTGCCTGAAAATTGTAATTGATCAGTACGCGTCAGCTGCTAATACTGTTGCTATTATCACTCCTGCCACCTCTACCACCATCTCCTCCCCCCTGCCTCATCTCTCCATCCTGAAGCTTACATTTGCTCCTAGCGCTCAGACCTCCTCACCTCTGCTTCCTGCCCTTCCTATGCCTGCAGTGCCTGGGTAGTATATCCAAATGCTGTCCACTCTTCAAGGTCCAGCTCCCCACCACCCTGCAGATCATGGCCAATGGCACTTCAAGGACTGCCCCTCTCTAGCATGGTGTGGCACTGTGGGGTGCTAATCAGCACAGCCCCATGGGCTCAGCCTAGGTGGGTGGAATCTCTAGCTCCTCCCCTCCCTGGCTTTTCATGCCTGCTGCTCATCCATCCCTCAGAGACCGAAACCTATGTCCTCAGTCTACTGCTAAGTAAACACTGAATGTCAGTAGTAAGCCAGTCTACAGGCTGCATGCGTGTTTTGCTAGATTCTAGCAGTGAGAAAATTACAATGAATTTAAATTTTGACTTCAAAAAGGTCTGTTATGTGTACTGGCCAATTCTTTCAGTTCTGAATTCTCAAGGTGATGGCTTCAGCCTTCTGCTCAGAGAAAAGATTCAGTAACAGTAAGCCTACACTGACCACTCCTTCTTAGCCAGCGAAGGCTTGCTGTGGCTCCCAAGGGGCCGCACTGTGGGCACATAGGTACTTACCAGTCAGCAATGCATCCAGTTATTAGGTAGCCAAAGATTAATCCAACCAGTAAGGAGAACTTAGCGATATGGACCTTCCAGGCATTATCACACACAAGATCCCACTAGAGAGGGGCAAATAGAAAATAAATCAGAGAGAAACATACACAGATGCTAGTTGTAGTCAATCACATGGGCGATACAATAACTGCAGTAAGGACCATGAGAATGTGCCATGCCTCGTCACACATACTGTTGGCAGTCTCTTCAATGTTTTTGAAACTCCAACACCAAGAAATAGAATTTGCCCACAAAAGACAGTGTAATGTTATAGTCTGAGACAGATTGTAAAAATCTGCAAGGAGTAACCTGTGACACCTAGGACGTCTGTCATCTCTGTTACCACAGGCAATACAACCCCCAAGCCAGGGAGCCAAGTCTCTGGGTGCTCCTGACTACAGCAGGGCTGTCACGCACACTCCAGGGCTGGGAGGCCCTGCCGACTTTTTGTACGGGTATCACGGTGACATGAGGGAATTAAAAGCAACTTCTGTTTCCATCCCAAAACACCCTGCAAGCTTTGCAAGCAGTCTTAAAAAGAGTTAACAGTCAATGTTGAAATATCATTCACTAAACATTCCTATTTCTTTCCTCATAAATGTCCCTTGTGTTTTTCCATATTCCACTCAAAACTTATCTGTTCTTCCTGGAGAGAAAGCCAATCAATTGGTGAATACAATACGTTTAGACTATTTGTACAATTGTTCTATTATTTAATAAAATAAATAAATATAATTCTCTAATTTTTCTATTCTCCTTTTGCAGAAACAGGAAACCCATGTTTGTTCCCTCAAAGTGCTGTGCGTCCAGGTGGAACACAGGTGAGCACACAGCCTACACCTGGGCCCTGGGGACAGGCAAGCTGGGTGTCTGTCAGCGGTCCTATGTAGACTGTAGCCCCCCATCGCATCAGATGCCCTCCTTCTGGTGGAAAGAAGTGGAGAAAGCATCCCATTTGGAGCTTTAACTCAAGATCAGCGGAGGTGGGAGAGATGATGAGGTAGGGCCTGGGGAGGCCAGAGCAGGAGTTCTGGAAGCAGCAACAGGGCTTGTGGGTGGGCATGGGGGTGTGCATGGCATTGGGCTGAGGCTGAATCTCGGCCCCCATCCCCTTTTCTGTCCATCTTGAGGCCCAGGTTTAATGCAGGAGATCCTTAAAGGGCACTGTAAGTTCTGGTTTCCTCTCTGCTCTAAACTTGTGGGAAGCCTGATGGATGTCCCCAGGGGCCCTTAGCTGTGGGTCTCAGCCTCAGTGGGCTTTGGGAAGGGCCAAGCTTTTGCATCCATGGCTGTGGAGTAAGGCGCCTGGCCTCCACAAAGCAGAAGGCAGCTGCATGTCACTTTGCCCCCTGGACTCCCTGGGATGTCTGCCTGCTCACTGAAGCCCCCGAATCATCTTCGGCTTTTCAGAGACCTGCAGAGAGCAACTTACTCCTCTACCCAACCTGCTTCGAGAGCGATTCCCACACCAGGCTCAGGAAGAAATGCAGTGCAAGCAGACCATGCAGGTCTCATCAACACAGCCTGGTTTGGGACTCGTCAGTGCAAAGGCTTAGTCACGGGTTTGCATAGCGGGCCACTGCTAGTTGCACAGAATCTCGCCATTAAGTGAGATTCAGACCAGGAGTTCTTCAGAGGGTTAACTCCCTCCAGCATCTACTCCAGGTCCTCAAAATGTGCTCCAGGGACCAGCAGCATTAATATCACTGGGAATGTGGCAAAAATACAAAGTCGTGGGCCCCACCGCAGACTCACTGAAGGAGAACTTCAGGAATTGAAGCGGAGGAACGTAGTGTAACAAGCCCTCCGTGTGATTTTGATGCTCACTCAAGTCTAAGAACCAGAAGCTGGCCCCGTCCTGCTATTTCCCTGCCATCCAGAAGATAATGACGGAGCTTCACAGTCCCAGGCTGAAGTTCAATCTATTCCCAAGAGAAGGTGGAAGTGAATACTGCATGAAACACGCACAGTAGTGTGGTCTATTGTTTTCTACTGCAAATGCAGGATTATAAAACTAGATTATAAGTTAAGAGGGCTTTTGGAGTTGGAAACTGAACATTCACATACATATTGTTTCTGGGAGAAAATGTATTTTTAATAACAAACACCTTTCAACCTATCTCTAACTTCAGAAATGCAGGGGCTGCCTTATAATGTGAGTTACAGCATCATAACTAGCAGTGTGTGCATATCCCATTTCCTCAGCTGGGTTTATACATTCTGAGGCCATTCCTAGTTATTGTCTCTCCTCTCTGCCCAGCAGAAGACCCCACCCAGAAAGCAGTCCACTCCAGGAGGGAGAGAGCAACATCTATAAGCACACCTGGCTAATCTGGGAGAGGAGGTGCTCACAACACCTGTAACCACTAAAAGCCCAATCATGTCACACCTTCCTGTGCCTCAGCCTGGCAAGTTCTTGGCAAGATATGGGCACACCTGCTCCCAGATTTCTGCTGAGGAGGAGGACATGGGCAGCAGCTCCGTGGCAGGCAATCGTTTTCTCATGTCTCCATCCAGACTGCCTACTGATGAGTTTATTTGAGGTCAAGCAATGCAAAGGAGCACATTATGCTTTTATTAGATGGCCAGGAGAGAAAAGAGATTTTAATAAAAGCATTGGAGAAGTAGGGGAAATTGCCAGAAATGTTGTGAGTTCAGCCACCTGAAAATAACCCTACCTGGCCTTGGGCAGCTATAGCCCAGTTTAGTTTCCACCTAATAAGATATTCAGTGGCCTTCTCAGTGCAGCCTCTATCAATTAACAATGCTAGGTGGAAAATTAAAACAGTTGAGAGGACAGAACTGGCACTGTGGCGCTCAGCCTGGGGGAGGAGCCAGGGAATCCAGGACAAGGCAGCCCCCTGGTGCTCAGCCCCCTCAGTTAGGCACTGGAGTAAACAGCATCTTGGAGTCAACAGATGGACTGACTCTAGGCCCCTGCAGGTTTGCCAAGATAAGGCTCCTCATGCCTGGGGATCTGCCTGAAACAGCAGCCTTGAGAGCCTGGTGGCCCCCCGCTGAGGCACATTCCATACACTGGGTGGGGTGGGGTGGCTGGAATCTGCTGAGATAGCATCCCTTGTTTGACTTCTACTGCTGGTATTGATAAAATGTACTGGGAAAATCAAGTATGTTCAGACATAGTAATCTCCAGAGGAATTTCAGAAGTATGAGGAAGCTCTGAGATCCTCTTGCTCTCGAAATTTCTTTGCACGACTATCAGTAAGATACAGCAGTCAATCATTTCACTAAGCCAGGACTGAGGGACTTCAAAGAATCTAAAATGTACCAAGCCAGGACTTAACGTAATAGGTTTTATCTCTGATATGACCCTTGTCACCTCCCTCTCCTCACCCTCACCCCACATCAAATCAAACACCAGTTCCCGAGGATTCTCCGTTGCAGACTCATCCTGTACATGTTGGCACACTCCATCCCCACCACGCATAACCTGACTCATGGGGACATACAGGGCTCGGAGCACATCAAGGTTTCAAATGTGATTTAGATTCTGCCAATCAGCTGCGTACCCCAAAATAACTTTCAGTACACAACCTAGTTCTGATTTTGGGGAAGATGTGAATTAGGAGGAGTAAGTGGGACATCCATCCATGTGGCCGGTTGGATCTGGCAGGGGTTTGGTCTGGAGGTGGCTCAGGGGCCCTCTTGAGCCAGCGTTTAGACAGTGACTTCCTGATTCCCCAGCCTCTTAACTGTGATACAGCTCCCTGGGCAGGCCATGTCCAGGGAGTTGTTCTAGGAATCCTTCTGGAGACCCCGTCTATAGCTGCTTCTGCAATTTAGGGAGCACTATTTCCCTGGATTCAGTTCTGATCTCCTTAAACACTTGGAGCAGTTTCTGTTATCTGCAAGAAGAACCTTATTTCAATTAAATTTCCTTGGAGTTTTCTAGGAGAGCACAGGACGTAGGCCATGTCACCATCTTTCCTTCCTGAACATAATAATACAAGAGTCTCCAAGAGTTAACTCCCGCTTCCCCCCAATCTATTCCCTACAGAACAATGAAAACAATCCTCTAATTAAGCATGTTAACACTTTATCAGCAGGTTTAACAAGATCATAAAAGCGTTAAAGTCATGGCCCCGTTTCATAATCTGAGCTTGCTTGCTCGGCGGTTGTCCCAAAACCAGGGGCAGTCTATGGTCATGCCCCGTGGTGCTGCGGGCCATGACTGAAGGGCGAGGTGGCTGACCCTAAAAGGTGTTCTCAACTTGAGCGGCACAGGTTCTGTTCAAAAAAAGGGGCAGAAGTCACAAAAAATCTGGCAGACAATTTTTCTACCTATTTATTTTAAGAATAAGCTAGAAGACAAGAAATAAAATTTACCTTATTTTCAAAGGAATAATCTGATTGTTTGATTTGCCTGAGTAGAGAAATATGCATTCAAGGAAACTAATGAAATTTCTAAAGAAGATGGAAAATAATAAAAGAGATAAGGAAATCAATCTCATTTTCAGCAATCATGAATCCTATGATAAAATAAAATATAAAATGACATAAAAAAATTGGAAGAAATCAGATAACCTACTCAATTTTGAAGTGGAGATGAGACCCCTAAGGATAAAAACTAAGGGGAAAAAACTACTTCTAAGGAAAAGACTGATAGGTCTTACCCATTTAACTGTAACTATTTAATTATTATTCATTTTAATTATTACTTTCAACTTCCATGCATCAAAATACCATCAGCAAATTCATAAAGATCCTAAATTTATAAAATATATTGTAGGGGATCAGAATGTGCCACCCTGAAATAGGCTACTTTGGCATAAAGATTATTTTGAGCTGAAGGCGAACAAGAATGGACAGATGCAGAAAGAAGACTTCTCAGAGCTTAGCTTATCTGACTACCAGCAGAAACTTCGGAGAAATGAGGACTGCCATAAGCCCCTTCCCTTGGGGAAGTTTTATGGTCTTGAAGTCTGCAAACAAACCTTACTAAGATGACCCTCACCTTCCATTTGTTTCCCCCTTACATTTATCTTCCCAAATTTGCTTCCCCTGAGAGCCTAAACCCATTTTCCTTTGTCTTGTCACTTCTCTG